ATGATAGCGAGTTTCGACGACGCGTGTTTTTCAATGCGAACGGCCAATAACGGAAACTACTTACTCAGCGAAGATTTCAGCAAGTTATAGGTATAATATATTAAATAAAACGCAAATATCATGTACGTTCTGTATGTACGTACATGTCCATATCCGTATATATATATATATGGCGATGTATGCTTGCGGTCTCAGTTTTTCCAGTATCATAAATGATTTGGTTCGAGCGCGATGTTGGCCATGGACGCTCTGATCGATATAAAAAAAACTCCTCTGTCCTACAAAATAGTGAAGGTTTGTATTCCATTCGGAGTAATATAAATTTTAAAACAAACAATATAAACACTTAGAAAAACATTGTGATAATATTGGTTAGCTGGGTTAATCCATTAACCTGTCATTTTGGATAGAGACAAAATGTTTGTTTAAATTTTATATTAACATGCTATTGACATTCTGGTTCGTGAAATTTTATATTTTACGTTAACCTTTTTAGGTGCTAGATCTAGGTAACTAGGAAGAACTTGGCCACGAACCCCGTGTGGGTAAACCTTGCCCGGAGGCTGTTAGGACAGTCTGCCCACCTGACGTAGGGTAGGCAAATACACTCAAAGGCACCAATGAAAAGTGAACGAAAGCAAAATAATATCGAATGAACGTAAAAATACTAGTAGTAGTAGTAGTAGTAGTAGTAGTAGCAGCCGGCTGATGGAAATAGAACAGAAAATTGAGGTATTTGTTTTGGCGTTACGTACATGTAAACCAAGCTTCTATTCTATGCGACAGCATATCGTTGAATCTTCCGAAGTGGGATGAAAGCTGCTACTAGTATGGCAGGGATAGAGAGAAACTGTACAAAGTAACAAAAACAAAAAAAAAAAATAGCAATTGTCGACTGCATCTCTTAACTTAATGACAAAATGTTTTTATGCTATTAAAAAATCAGCGTTCACCCTGAGATAGCAGGCGCTTAACATGCCGATAGTTTTTTTTAGTAAAAGGTGCCCAATTTAATAGCTAAATGCTCATTTAATGTCACGAATTAGGTAGAGAAACATTGTTTCTATTTGTTCTTTAATGCTGTCAGCTCTATGTGAAATGGTTAGAAGGCCAGCCTGAGGTAATCAATCATATATCAATGAAGAACGAGCTGAATAGATAAACAATATTAAGATAAACTGACGTTTCTGTGTATGTAGTCAAAGATGGTCAAAGGAAATGTTTATGCTGAACATCCGCGTGTAATAGAGCTATCACAGTTCCTACCCCCTACCCGATTACCTGAAAGCGTCTGTACACCACACTGCAAGTCATTATGTAACGCTTTTTGCATTACTAAAGCACCAATTAAGACAAATTCATAGACAATGATTGGTTTAGCCAGCGTTTCTTGTCCGTTCAGCTGATACATGCGTGAGATCCTACCGGATCGCTGTCAGGGAAGCTTATCTGTCGAACGGGCTTTTAGCATAGCAAAGAATTGTCGAAGTGTTTATTTGAACAAAAATCAGTCATAGACACAAAAATCCGTTACTAGAACCCCCGAGCTCGCTTACGCACCCACCACTAGCCCCAGTTTAGCCCCCGTTAGCAATGCTTGCTATTGGTTTGAACTAGCACTCAGCCGGCATACTAGGCAAGGCAGGACAATGGCAACAGTTAAGCTGTACAACATTTGCCTAGTAAAGTGATACGAATAGAGAGATGGGATTTCAATAGGGGAACTGGCAAGCGACGCGAGGTAGACACCCCTTCGTGAGTTTATCCATCCAACTAAACAGACAAGTCGTCGATACTTCGTCAATTAACACCACGAGGATATCCAAACCATGAGAGACAGCTGTCACACCAAGTGAGAGATCGATCTTCAAATAATCAAACACATAAACGATGCTTCATGAATATATGCTATTAATTATTCTTGCTATTATTTCAAAAGCCCGCAAATGGGATATACTATACTACAGGTGTTAATAGATTCCAACGCGATAGTACTGCGTCTATTCGAACACAAACGGTGTATTATTATAAAAATTGCGCAAACATACCTGTGTCTTTATGCGCGCCCAAGTTGGTTAGTCGTAAAGCGACTATCGTAGCCCTTCAATAGCCCTTAATTTTAACACTGAGAAGTTTTCTTACTTTCTTCAATGTCTGAACCGTCGACGACTTTGTCGTAGTGTTACCAGCCCGAAAACAGATCCAACGGCATGGACGATCTAAAGATTACGACCACTATTATCGATATTACGACGACATTTTGCTTGCTGCCGAAGAGAAACAAGGAAACGCTAACCGGCTGCATTTGGGATACAAAAAAGTCTCCGATTTTGCTGTCCTGATGAAAACCTCATGTCATACGATAACGCGTGGCGGCCGTAGCTACTTTCGTAGACAAAATGGTTTACTCACTGAATATGGGTATCTCACGATTCCTGTCTAATAGAAATAGCGGCATATGAAGATCATCTTTAAGGTTGATTTGAATGTTAATCTTTAGAGTTGCTGGGTTGGGAATCATTGTCTAGTGTCATTTGAGTAATACTAATGGAATTTTAATCACAATTATCATTTCGACTTTATCTCTGCAATTTGATGAATGAGAAAGAAGAATACTGATCTACAATCGATTTATAAAGTAGAGAATTTTGGAGCTACAGGTTGACGTGTACACGTCAAACGCATTGCTTTCTTCTGAGTTTTGTTCGATGACCGAATCAGTGGGTGATTGGAGACGATGAATTCTAGGGAACCTAGGCTCAGATTAGCCCGCGGTACTGGCTTCTCGATGGATAAGGTAACATAAAGTAGAATGGAGCACAGATGGACGAGGGGCGGGACAGGCCCTGCGGAGTGGCGACAAAAGTGGTCGAGGGCGGGGGGTGGCCTCTTAAAACGCCGTGAGGTGGTTATCCCACCGACAATCCTCTGACAACCGTCATCTCATCATTCAGCGTGGAAAGTAAAGTATAGGTGGAAGACTGGGGGTAATGGGGTTACGTCGTATGAGGGTAACAGTAAGAGATACAGGGGGCAAAGTGTAACGAGAAGAAGAGGAGCAAGAGCTAAAGTCGTCTCCTTCTGCAAACTTTAATAATCATAATCATAAAGGCGGCCGAGGCAGTGGCGGTGATCAGAGCGGAGAAAAACAGCAGTGACTGGGGCCCACCATTTAGAGTACCACGTCACAGAGGTCTGATGAACTCGACTGATCTGAGTAGCGAACTTAATTACTTTATACTTCCTAACTAGTATGAAAAAACCTGCAACAGCTGCAGTGAGCCATTCAGTGTGTAATTGGCAGCGAAATTGGAAATTCGTTTGCTGATGTTTACGGCGAAAAGTGGAGAATATTTCTTGTCTGAATAATACAGCTTTCGAGGCCTTACGGAACGCGCTAGAGCTAAGTCGACCCTTGAGATCGTCCTGCTATACGAAGAAAAGTAACTTTGGCTTCAGTTAAACTGATCGTACAGGCTCAGTACGGCATGGGGCAGAGCATATCTCGACCGAATTGCCACCACAAAGTAAGACGGAGGCATTGGTCCCTAGCATTCAGATGATTTCAAAACAACATCTATGGATTTCTCGACTTTGCCATTAAGTAGCTACACTTACACAACCGTCAATCGCTTACGCATATGTGTTAATTATTTCAGTTCCATTTGGTTACGTATCCGTTTCGAAACTAATTGAACTATTGCCGAAATAACTATTAATCTCTTCTGGATTTTCAGGTCTTCTTCCATAGTAGATTTAGATAGAAATAGACAGTTAAAACTATTCAGTGTGCGATAAAATAGAATATAGATAATGTTAAAAACAGTAATTTTTGGTCCAATCCCGTTTTCTCTTATTCAATCCATACAAGTTCTATGTACACTTTGGCCCAGATGGCCACCCCGCTACATTCCTGACGCCATAAAAGACCTAAAAATTTACAATGATAATCAACAATACGTACGACTAGTACGAGGTAAAATAAGATCTGGACATGGTCACGCTTAGGGCAAAACGCGTGACAGCGGTCCGAGCACGAGTGTAAGTTTTACAAAGTGAATAACTTCATAGATACTGAAAACCAGTTGCGTTGGGTTCGTATCTCCCAGACGAATCTAAAGACGATTTATCAATATTTGATGGAATATCGGTTTCGGGAATGTAATGGCCAGCTGTTCGCGTAGAGCATACGCCATCTTAAATCTAGTTTTTTTTTTTTCAGCGATGGAGAAATCGCGCGTCCGATTTCCGTGCGACCGAACTATATCCATTTCACAGTTCAAACAGATACGGACAAAATGGCTAGAAGTCGGAGTAGCCTTATCACGATGCCATAAATAACGGCTCAGACGTGTGATGCAGGTGCGCATCAGTTATATGTTAAAGGATTACATACGTGCTAGTAATATTCGTTCACATATGCTTATAAGCGACATTTTTTTTACCTCTTCCTGTTTACTCATCTAAATTACAGAAATATAAAAAGGAAGAACGCGTACTGAGATAGACGAGAATCAGTGGATCACTGCACATTTTTTCTCAAAAACGATTCTTTTTAAGATAGTATTACCTGTTCCAGTCGTTTGACGCCAGTTTCCACTACGGCGTTTTATTCAAACATTATATAATCGCAGTGTCTGTAGAAAACGTGCCTATTGATATATAAAGCAAAAACTTGTTTTTTTACAATATATCTTTTAATCAAATTGGTAAACAAATACTGTTACCAATGGCTATCAAAAGTACAAACCGATACTTTTTAATTACTTCCTATAGTTAATGGTGTACGTTTGTTAAGAATTCGGCGTTTTCGATGGTAGAACTAACGTCAGTGAACTTTAGTAGCGTAAAAATTCGTATAAATAAAAATAGGTAACTAATTGACCACACGACCTATTCAAGTTAAGTAATTCAATTATATATTTTAACTTATTAAATTAATCTTAGTGTAATTAGAAAAAGTTTAGCACATATTCAGCTATCCCTAAACTTGACTCTTAGCAAGTTCTTACTGATATATCGTGTAGATATTTGACGGTTTGGTACTCTTCTATAACCATAAAGCCCGCATGCATAGCTTTAAAATAGGTGCCTGCAATAGAATAGCCAAGCTATCGAACTTCTCGATAGTTGCGATTGGACTGGGAATCTGGAATACCATTTTTGCGCAAAGTTATAGTCTTAATTGTAAGTTGCAGCTTCTACTGAGGTTGCTACGTGTCGAAATAAACCTAGTGTCTTCAATAGCCCAATAATATTTACCGCTTTAACAAACAAAACTCATTTTTGCTCTCAATTATATTTCGAAATATTCTTTGATTTCGCCCTATCACCTGGCTGCGTCGTAACCAGCTTCCTTCTGTAATATCAGATTTTTCTTCACTTGTCCCACACGCCATTTGTGTTTTTATTAAAAACGTACAATAACGCGAACAGGACTAGGAGATCTGTAGAATTAGAACACTCGCTTGGGCCGAAGATTCGTCGCAAAATTTAGCTTGGGGCACATTTCTATAGATGTTTCTAAAATCCCACATTATAGAATAAAAAAAAACCCCTCAAAAGCCGGCTCCACTGTAACTCGATAGGTAAGTAAATGCTTAAATGAACCAAGTTAAGTTTTTTTACAAACAGCCATTGAAAATAAAGCGGCCATATTTGCTACCTAATCATAAGTGGGCTGAGTCCGGCTGGTCGCGGCATCTACGAATCCATCTGTTGTCCCATTTCAACCGTGGTAGTTCTGTCAAAACGTCCTGGCCTTGCCAAGCGTTCCGCGTAAACCAGCCCTAAACTGTCCATGCGACGTTGACGTTGGCGTTGTACGGCTTAACACAGTCGTTTGATTCGTCGTTATTTCCTGGAGTTCCATTAGGCCTACTGAGCTAGTAGCGTTACGTAGAGCGGTTTGTTGTTTCCATACGATATACGGTGGTGAACATATCTTAGGTTATGTCGTCCGAACGCGGACGCAATGCCTCTTCAACACCCTGCAAAAGAGTTTAACTAATAATATAATAAGTATATATAAAATAAGGATAATAAGACAAGTATAGTAATTCTTATTCCTGCTGAATTGAGTTTCCTATTTCGACAGATTGTTGAAGCAATACAAAAGGAAGAGCTATAGAAGCTTTGTGCGGACGTTTCAATTGCCAGCGCCATCATTCCGAACGCTAGGTTAGTACTTTTCTTAAGAAACAAAAAACGCATACATTTTCGAGTGACAGCATTTCGTAGACGGTCACTATATGCCGCCCATCACCTCCCACCCCTTTGTTGCAACCTCCCCGAGCGTTCCGTCTTAGGGTCTGTTGCTTTCCCTTTCCAGCTACTGATAGTGCGCGAAGTTCTGCATTTAGGATAGACGTTTACTTGTCGAAAGAAAAGCATCATCGATTACCTGTAACTAAGTCAAAATTGTGAGTGCATCAAGTTAATTTTACTTCATTTATCGATCTTTGCGCCATTTCTATTTCCCTAATAAGTCACCTGTAGCTAATCACTCTATCACGTTATGGATAACATTATCCCTATAGGCTTAGGGCAACTCTGTCCCACTGTACTGTTCGAATAACTAAAATACAGATAACTAGATGAACGCTGAAGCTGTTTCGTAAACCGACTTTTCCAGCTTTCGACTATCGACTAACAGTAAAGGCTCATCAGTCTAACTATAAATCGGGCTCGTAATCTCTGGGCTTGCGGACGCTTTGACTCCTGCGCTCCGGCAACCATTTTCCTTCATCGTTTCCATTCATTGCACACCATGTAAAGCAGCAATCGTGGACTCGTTTTAATGTCGTCGTTCCAACTTAGCACACAAGTCTTAAAACACGCAAAATACCGTATCGGGTCACGTGGTCCTACTTATCTGTCGTGTCTGCTAGTGACGTCCGCAATGGAAATCTAATCAACAACATTGAACACCATGTGATGTATTCAATTGTGCAGACGATAAATTTCTGACGAGAGCTATAGATCAACGGCAAAATCCAAGAATAGAATCTGTATATTTATACTATTTCATACCTCTGCTATGGCAGTGTTGCAGCGTTCACTGAATTGCAAACTGAATAGCAAACTTCATTAGCTGTAAACTTGAAACGCCGAAAGCGTTTATAGACCAAGACAGAAGATGAATGCCTTAACCTAACCTTAATACTACTCCACTCGTTTATACAGATACAAATTCAATATTTGACATTATATATATATATATATATATAGATATATGGGTTACTGTGGTCGGCGGTGATAGCGGATTGATGTCCGTTATGTGCAAATCCCGTTCTAATTTCGATCGTGTTGAATCATCGAAAATAACAGAATGTATTCTCGGAACTGACGCGTCTCCAGAGATAAATCAGCGTCAGCATGTAATTAACGTGATCTGATGTGTGATCTGGCCGCATATAAAGGCGTGCCTGCATAGGCGGATCCGGAAAGAAGTTTGATCAGTCGATACCTGCACTCCCTGTGCTAAAATCACTGCTATTCCCCGAACTCTACTATTTCTACTGGTCAAATAGATTTGGCACGCAACTGTTAGACAGAACAATGTCGACAGCATCGTCTCTTTGCCACCTGTTGACGCTGTCAATCTTACTGCTTGTTTTCGTCACGTCAGCTACGCCCAATCATATAAGTAAGTTTAGACGAAAAGTTGGTGTCTCTGTATATATTCAATTACCTATTGTAACCTGGCGGCCAGGTCGAAAATCGATGACAACTACGAAAGACCACAATGAGCTATTGTGGGTAAAAAGCAAGACGTCAGTGCCAACAACGCCGCAATAGATGTGCATACACATATTCTGTACTTTGAACGATAGAAGTGAACAGCTTATATTTTTTTTTTTTTTTTACCTATTCTATGCGGTACCTATACATAATAGCTTAACAATTGTTTGGAAAAAATTTTACTAAGCACTTGCTCAAGTTCAGGCAAAAGTTAGGACCGAAACGACGATTATAGGGACGAGTCGTAATGTATTATACGCTACGATATAATTTCAACGAGGAAAATTAATTGCGACCTATTTCTATCGCAAGAACTGCACGGAAACTGTACCTGCTTACATTCGTTAAGTAACGACTTTATTTACCCATTTTTTTTTTTTTTTTTTTTAAGTATGTTCACTCATATGGTTTTATAAAAGTCTTATTTAGTATATTTTGAGTAGCAACTATTTCTAGATAATTGGCCTCATTCTGTCGACCAAGTACTTCCGATATGATTAATCGTTTCCAGCATGTGACCCTGTACCATCTTGCAACTGCCGAAAAGGAGTGGATCGTTACGGATGCGCCTTGTGCCTCTGTAAGTGCTGTCGCTTTATTAGCGGCCTTGATTGTTAATTCACACTAATTATAGTTTACTATATTTCACCATCTAGATAATGAGCGTTGACAGCAATTACTCTAATCACCAGCATGTCCTTTTCTGAAGTTTACTTTTAGGGCCACGTTGCGCCATTTGTAAACTAAGTACTGCCCAGAAGGGAGGAACAGACCACCGAATTATATAGCCCGATAGTTTGCTTGTATGATTCGTTCAGAAACATAAGCATAGGAGCTGAATTAGTTGTTTACGGATAGCTTACATCCTCGATAGTACCAATGAGTTTCGTGTTTGACGTTCGGTACCTAGCTTGTACGAGCTTAGGCGGTACTTCAAGCGGCTAGCTTCCAGCTCGAAGTGAAGTATGCCCGTGCCCGGATTCGAGCCTAGATTACCACGTGCACCTCGATTTTGCAAGCGAAGATGTTACCTATTACCTTGTCGAAAGAACAAAGGGACCGGAATTGATCGCAGACGTGTAACTGTGTCTGCAGGAACGATGCTTGAGTAAATTTTTAGGGTTTCACGCTCGGTACTGCCGTAAGCATTGCACGAGGGAGCGCTTCTCTAAAGCAGGAAACACATTTTTTTAGATGTTTAGCTACTGGAAACATTTATTTGATCGAAGGCTTAATCATTATCTATTTCGAAAACGTAAATTCTTCAATGTACAGGTGATGACTTCCACCGAAGTCACCTGAAAAATCTTATTCTCTTACCAGCATCCCGTGTGTGGGCTGAGCATCAGCTTGATAGGTATTATTGGAAAGTCTAGAAGCATTTCTCAGAAGCGTGGATGGTGTGCTGTATGTACAGGCAGTGCTTCTTGTGTATATAAATAAGGTACTAGTTCAAAATTTCCTTATATTCATGTAAACTAGCAAAGATTTCGTGGCGCTAAATAGGCCTTAAAACAGAAGAGAATTTGAGAATTAAGCGCTAGAGCTTGGCTCGTTACCCTAATAACTTACTTAAATATCTTTTGTCTTGAATAACTTAATTATATGCACATGGTTATGAAATTGAAAGGAGCGATTCGCTTTAGGCGCTTAGCAATTGTTTGTCGTTAATAAACATATCAATTAACTTTTCTGTCTCTGAGGTTAACTGTTCTAACTAGATTCATATCGGGCAGATTAAAGCTACTTAATTTTGTTATGTTTGTTTTTAGGTCCCCCGTGTAACTTGTGTTGTAAATATGGGTTGTACGATGTCATGGTCTACGATGAAGATCGCGGGGTCTGGTGTCCCAATGACTGCTTAACGCCAAACTCGGGGATCGTAATCGACCCTTATTATGAATCCTGTCCCCATCCTTATTCCTGAAAGCTTATATATTATAGCGAGTCTAGACAAATATGGCGACGATCATTACAAATTTCGATAATGTCTGTACAATAACGTCACAACATTCTCCTGTTCTCTAAAATACAATTTGTGTGCTTTGATGCGATAATATATTTGCTGTGATAAAATACGTAGATACTTCACTGCTGTTTGCATCTTCAATTGGAGCGGACATCATACGATAGGATAGTTAATTTGACAAGCGAACCGTAGAAATCTAGCTAATGAATCGTGTTCAATTTCTATCTTTTTCTCTATTTGTTAATCGGTATAGTCTGAACGCCTTCACTGAAGTAGTGAAGTAGCTTAAACACGCCATATAGTACGCGCATTGTAATTTTATTGAGATATTGATTAAGTAAACATAAAAAATGATACCATTCTGACACACATCGAGAATCGATGTGACGAATCGATTTTAAAGTCTCTCTAAAGGTAAGCATCCATTCCTTTCGCTGTAGCGGACAAGGTAAGTTATCAACGTGTGATTCTATTGCCTTCGTAGACAGCTTGAAAAACCGTGCACTAAAAAAAAAAAAGTAGAAGTTTTTGAGCAGTGATGAGCACTTACCACATGGATACTGCAAACAACCTATTTAGAGTCGGGTCAGCAAAAACAACGGGATTACGAAGCAACATTCCCTAGAGCGGAAATCAACAGACCCATCGGGTAGTCCGAGTCATTCACAGAGCATTTATATGTTTTGTCAAGTCAAGACCACAGATAACGCAAACAACGGTCTGTGTATTGACCGGCAAAAAAAAATAACGCGAGCCCGCTAGGTGAATAGCCCGGTGACTGACGGAATATAACCAAGCATTTATATTGAACAACAAGTAACAGACGAGAAATAACGGGTTTGCTATGCAGGAATGGTAAGCTATAATACCTCCTACTTGCCCTAATAATTATGCATAGCAGTTAAACTCGGCCCGCTTAGGACTAGTAGCAGCAGGCGCTAACAAGAACTTCGAATGGCGATAGCTACAACGGTACCGATGAACGTTCCCGCTATCGTTAAATGTCCATTGGCTAAAACGAACAGCCGGTCGGATCTCTCATGCCTAATACCTGCCTAGCATATCGAAGCCGGGACCTAAACTTAAGCCTCGAGGACTTGAAGCAAAACTTAGTTCTTTTCGAGCTTGATCTTTCTAGACCGAAGGCTACGAATGGGTGGGGACGTTCGGCAGCTCTACCCATTTATTTCGTCACCAGAGCGTTAAAGCAATCGGCCTATCAGGAATATCGTAGACAGCGTGCGTGCCAAACGTACAACTCTGAGATGCCTTACTGTCAACTAACAATCCATTTAAGAGTTTGTCTGCTTTCCTGTCCCTGTAAGCTTCTTCTGTACGTCCCTATATTGATGACTATGCGAGTCGAACAGCAGCAGTAAAAGTCTTCCCGGCGATTTTCCATCAAAGTCGTGGTCCTTATGCTAGATGTGCATGCCCATTCTCAGTACAGACATGTGTAGGCCGTGTGTGTAATGCAGCGTGTAATTCGTGCCTGTCACGGCTGTAAGGACAGACAAACAAGTTACTGTTATTAGTTACGATGACATTCAAAAACAACCTAAATAAGTCGTCTACAGATAATGAATGGGCTAACCATTACACATAATTGAAAAAAAAAAAAAAATGGAAAAAATTATTATCCTAATTCATGTTTACTGAAACTCAAATACTTTTATTCAACGTGTACATTCTACACCGTCTAATTGATCAGCGGCCGGAAGAACATGCTGCACCTTTAAGCTAACAGTACCGTTTCCGAAGAACCTTTGGTAGGACCCTCTTTCCCATGGAAAGATAATGGGTCGCAGTGAAGATGCTACAGCTGTATGTCTTACCATCTAGACCACTGGAATAATTCAATGTACAACAGAGTATCTAATAAAATTGATATTTATTCTTAAAAAAAAAAAAAAAAAAGAAGCACATTGATGCTCGTCGCTACTGGTAGGTGTTATGTTTGACCTCCTCGTCTAAGATCAACAAAATTCTCGACAATATGACTGACACTTGAGTCTTCACAATTACCTACATCTGTTGGCAGGGTCTGAGATTACAAAAATGGTTGCTGTTGTTATTGTTTTGTCAATGCCTGGAAGGCGTAAGCTCGGTAATTCAGCATCCGCCGACAGGATGTGCAGAGACATCAAGCAAATCGATAATTTTTAGAAAAAAAAAAATAGGAAGTCAACGTGCTTTACCCGGTACTCTGGTCTGGTGCCCGGTGCGTCTCTGACGCAAGGCGCTTTCTAAGTAAATATAAAACACTTTATAGCCAAACGACCGTTAGTGAGATAGAAGGTCAGCTACGCTATATAGATTACCTTACGTTTTTAGCATTCTGTTTCCACATTTACAGAGTATTCTGCCATCAAACGTCTCCAATTTTGTAGATTAGTGTAACATGCAGATACCGCAACTCATCAGTTTAAAAGCCATTTTTGCAACAGGACGACACTGACATTACCGAGAAGATCCAAGGCTGTCTTCTCAATATGAAATTACCAAAAATCAATATTATTCGCCAAAAAAAAAATAGACCTCTTTATTTTAAACAGTATTTACATTTATCGTTGTATATTTAGCCGGTTTTATGTTATCATATTAGAATAATCAGGTTATGAAGACTTTAGTATCTTCGCTATATAAAATAAGCCGAAATGCATTTTATATAAACTTAAGTCTCCTTACCTCGTTTGTATTAGACAAACGACACCTAGGTCCTAGGCGTGTGGATTATCACAGTTTTCTGCGAATCAACGCGTTCTATCGTCACTGAATTCGCTCACGACGGTCTGCTTTTAAGATGGTGAAAATCACTTAATCCAATTGCGGTAGAATAACGTAAGCTAAACAGGCTGGCGCTAGTAGCCCGAGTGGGAACAGCCATGATCGCACTGGGGTCAAAGCCTTACATTAAATCACCTTACGAATAGGCCAACGTTAACACCTTAAAGAAGTATGTTAATGGCCTGTTTGTCTGACAGTACATTTCGCCGTAACTGGCTTGTTTTTTGACCATTTTGGAACGACGAAATGAAGAGGCTTGCTCTATAATGAACATACTCTAACAGGGAATTAATTGACTCTGCTCAATAGCTAAAGCGCAGCTGGTATTACAGGCAGTAATACCAAAGGGTGTCCAGGGACGATCGTGCCACTTCGGGAACGGGTTGCCGTCGGTTGACGTTGAATAAATGACAATGACCATATGTTGAAAAACGTGCTGCAACCGGAAACGTTTTAAAAACATTTAGATTACTGCGAGTGGCGTAAGAAAATAGCTATAAATACATTTTACGAAAACATGCTTGAACAATGCACTCGTAACCGCTATACCAACGCATGTTCTTCTATCTTAGTTCTAAGTAAGTAAGTTCAATTAAGTGTTTTTAGATCAGGTTGTTCCAGGAGAATTTTTCATTTAACAGAATCTGACAATAGACACTATCCGTTCTAATTTTAATATCAGCTATTATTAAATCACGACCCAACCTACCCTACGTCTATGTCAACGTATATTTACAACACGAAAAATAGGTGATCCGTACTTCAGTCGACAAATTTCGCCTAACAACTTCAAGCTACAGTAAGGGCAGTCAGTGTTTTACTAGCTGGAAAAACAAATGCTCCTCTTCGTTTGCCCGAAAGAGTGGCATTCGTCCATTTCACCCGATCATACAGTTATTATTTACACGTTTGTTTTTAGTTAACCGCAAACACAATTTTTGAGCAGTATCTCACCTGGGTCTCGCGCTCGTATCATCCAGCGAAAGCCGCGAGTCGATTCGTGTTTCAGCCGACGCTGCTGCGACTGCCGCCCATCATCTTGACAAACGATACTAGTTAATGTCATCTACTTCCTGGACCGACAGGATCCGAGCAGAAACAGTCGCGACATGTGGCTGCTGCCTCAACGGCAGTGGTAGTTGTCCTCGTAGTGGAGGTGGAACCGTTAGAAGTGATAGTCGCGCAATGGAGGGACTCGGTAGGTAGGCAGGTACAGACAGATCAAGAATATCGGCGACCGGGTGCCTTGTCGACTTGTGTTGTTTAGTCCTGGGTTACGACCCGGGTCGCTCTCTGTCACCTGATGAGTTGGATACAGTCGCAGTGGGTAGCTTATGACTTGCTGTCGATAGCTAATATACAGTCAATATCTCTACGTCTTATTTTGGCTTCGGGTACAAAGATAGATAGATTTACCTACTCAAGTTGTTAGTTTCCCGATTCTACTCGTAGGGCAGGAGCATATCGAAATAGATAAAAAGAAAAAAAAAACTAACTAAGCGCTACAACAGTAAACTGCTAGATGTTCGTTATGCCATCGATTTTCCTCGTTACTTATATATATATATATATATATATATATATATAGAGAGCAGCTGTTTTAGATGCCAATTGTGGAAAAGCATACGATGAGAGGGACTGGTAATAAGCCTTGACCTTCTGTATACGATACAACAACATAGTTGCGTCTTATTGGCACTTTGGTCACAATTTTATTGTTTCTTATTCCTGTCACTTTATTACTGTTTACTCATTACAACCATTCAGGAAAGTTCTCCTTTTTCTGTGTATCCGTTGTAACGTTGAGCGAAATTTCACGCAGAGTTTAGTCTGCAAAGGCGGCGCATTGTCTCGATTTCTCCTTTTGCCAAAGTCCAAAGCTACGGAAGCAGCGTCTGATATTCTTAAATTCAGAAATAAATTCTCAGATACAGTGGAGGTACCCCACCCGGAATCGCCTCACCGGTCGCCGGGTAATCGGGCAACTTAGGTCAACGGAAGACTTCGGATAACACACAATCTACCGAGAAGATGGCTTTTAGGCTTACGGTCTAAGGGTAACCTTTTTCTATCACTGGCGAATTAAATTAATAATCTTATGTTTTATATAGAAATGGGTCTCAAAATGTGGCTAAAAGAATACATAACCATTGAACCTAACAGTTTCTGGGAGATCGAAGAAGGCCGTAGCAGGTAATGACGAACGTATAATAGATTAATTTGTTACTCGAACTCGAGTAAATCGCCTCGTTTTTCTATTATTATTCTGCTTACAAAAACGTACTACTTCTAGTTACTAGTTAGTTGCATCATCTTAATAAGGCAGCTAAAGTTTCCA